CACGGAGTCAGAATTTTGAAAAAAAATTTTGTAGATATTAAAGACATTAAAAACAAAATACAACATTATTTTGCCTTGCTTCTAAACAGCAAGGTTATGACCTTAGGTAAATTATTTAAGTTCTCTAGGTAATTCTGAGAATTGTTGGTGTTGAGACTTAACATTATACAATCACTGAAACTGTAATCCTCAGTTAAGGGGTCAAAGTTATTCTTCGTTTCTCAGGAGGACTGGTCTAGTTCAGAAAATACCTTTCCATAGGGATATGGTACACTTTCCTTAGGTGCCTGTGGTAATTGTCCCTCTCAGTATATTTGGTCAAGATAGTGAAGTGAACAAACTGTTTGAAGAGCTCCATGGTGATGTCATGTTGAATAAGGTGTTTGCTAATACCAGCACACAAACAACTTTGCTATCACTCACAGGATGAACACTCTTTAAAATTAAATCTAAATCCTCTTTCTTTGCCAAACAAAAGTCAGAACACAGTTAATGGTGAGACACATCCACTATTATTCTGTAATGGGTTAACAAGGCCCTGGCAGTCACCAGGCCCCTTTCCCAATCTTGCTTTCTCCCCACACATGGTTAGCCTGGCTGTAGGTCCTTTAGCACAGAGTGGGAAGGTTCCTCCCCCACTGGCTGGAAACTTAGCAAAGAGATTAGATGGAATCAATGAGAGACAAGACAAATCACACACAACCAAAGCCACTGTTTGCCAGGCAGAGAGGCCAGAGTCAGAGATTTCAACCTTGGTATACCCGTGGTGGCAGGTAGACACAATGTGTTTAGTAGGAGGATAAAGACAGGCAAATTTGAAATTGGAAAAAGGCAAGCTTCACAGTCTCAAGCACTCTCATTCAAGATAAACTCTTAAATTATTTCTTCAGGCCAGGCGCATTGGCACATGCCTGTAATCCCAGTGACTCAGGAAACTGAGATGGGAGGATCAGAAGTTCAAGGCCAACCTCAGCAACTTAGCAAGGCCCTTTGTAACTTATGAAAACCCTGTCTCAAAACAGAAAAAAGACTGGGGATGTAGCTCAGCTGTAAAGCACCCTTGGGTTCAATCCCCAGTATAAAACAAAAACAAAAACAACAAAAAAAAGATGTATTTCTCAAATTTTACATCATTCTATTTGTTAATTTGCAGGACTATTAGATTTTTCTGCTTTTGCTGAACTTGAATAGTGTTTACATAACCTTGTGGGTTATACAAATTTTTGTGGGCTGGTCTGGGAGATTTTCCTCTATTACCTCAAACCACAGGCATGGTATTATTTCTATTATAACAGGTTGAATGTTCCTAGTTTATTTTAGTGTTTCAAGTCACTGTAATAAAGGCCTTAAAAACACATTCTTACAAAAAAAAATCTTACAAGGTTCTAATGTATAAGCTAGCTGTAAGCAGAGTCTACATATATACTGAAACTCCTATGCATTTACTCATTAAAAGTATATTTTGTGACCTAGTAATGTACATAGCATTGTGGTGAGGATAACTTCAAAGAATTCACAGTTTCTTGTAGAAGACAAAGTAAGACAAAATTCATATGGGGACACTGGGGGACCACAGTGTGATTTTCATGACCCTCAATACTTTTGAGTCCTTTTCCCCCTAAAAAATATTAAAAATTACATATTACAACTGTGCCTATATTCAGATAAATAGAATCCAAGCTGTATTATATTCTCTTTAGATATGTAACTAGTTTTAAAAGAAATTAAAACATTTCATGGACCCTCTATGTATTATAGGCTCTGGGTACTACACCTACTATGCCCAATAGATAAGTCGACCCTGGAGATGAGGATTTGCAGAAGTGATACTTGAGAAAAGGATTATTACCAGAAAAGAGGGGAAAGATCATTTTAGGAAGAGAAGGCATGGACAAAATCTTAAACTTATGAATGTTAAGGTAAGAGGTCCCATGAGGGACCCTAATTGGTAAAAATGAGTTTGGAAAAGGTAGGCAGAAGCCAAAATATGAAGAATCTTGTCTGCTATTCTAAGAACAATGAGGAATTGATAGAGATATCTGTGGAGTGACATGTCCAAATCTGTCTTACAGAGAGATTACACTGGAACCACTGGAAAGAGGATGTAGGTGCTTAAGAGACAAAGGCGGGCTGGGGCTGTGACTCAGTGGTAGAGCACTTGCCTAGCATATGTGAGGCACTGGGTTTGATTCTCAGCACCACATAAAAATAAATAAAATAAAGGTCAAGCTAAAAAATTTTTTTTTAAATTTTAAAAAAGAGAGACAATGGCAAGAATTTATATAATGATGACAGCCTTAAATCAGATAGTGTTAACAAAAATGATAAAAATTCCAAAGGACACAGGTGATCAATGAGATAAGGAGGAAGGAGGCAGAAGCCTGGGTTCTAGTACTTGACTACCCATCCAATATACAACAAATCATCCAACTCAGATATGGGAAGCAGCTACTGTCTGCAATATTTCTCCAGATCATTCTCATATTCATCCCATTAGACCAATTCTTCCAGACCTTTTGATCTCACCTTTAATCCCTCCTGTCCTGATATCCTATTTAAATTCATTTTTCCCCTTTTAAGGCTTATCAGTGTTTGGTCACAATTTTGTATTTGACCTTTGACTCTGCACTTAGTCATGAATATGAAGAACTCCTGTTGCTTATTCCGGCCCCTGGAACCTAGCCAATCCTACTTGACCTCCACATAGGTTGGGGGCAGTGTAGTTAAGTCCTTTCTGCTGTGAACTGGTGAATTTAGTAAAGGTACTGGCTGAGAGGGAAAAAGAAGGTGAGAAGCAGTTTGGAGAAAGATAGTTATTTCAATTCTGCATATATTAAATCCAAGCTTCTACAGGTATAGCCTAGACATTAACCAAAGCAATCACAATATGGTCCTAGAATTTAGGAGAATGCTCTGAGCTAGGAAGAGAGATGTGTGTAGCTAAAAAAAAAATTTACATAGCAAGCTTTACCCTAGGCTTTGAAAGGCCTGCTTGCGAGGTTGGTCCTTGGCTGGCACATAGGAACTTTGGGGGAGTGTTTCCACCACTCCCCAACTTTTAAGTAGGTCCACTGTACCTAAACAGTGCAAACAATATGGTTTATGCTGACCACCTGCTTTCAGGGAGTCTGGAATTTTGGTACTTGCTAAGCAGAGGGTACCTTTGTGACTAGCCTCCAATAAAAAGCCTTGGGCACCAAGTCTGCAATGAGCTTTTCTAGTTGAGAACACTTTTTCTATATTGTCACAATTTGTGCTAGAGGAATTAAGTATGTCAAACTTGACTTTGTTGGGACGGGACTCTAGGAAGTTTGCCAGGCTTCCTCTAGACTTATTTTCATGAACCATTCCCCTTTGCTGATTATGCTTATATCCTTTCCCTGTAATAAATCCCAGCTATAAGTACAATGACACATGGATTCCTGAGTTCTAATAAATCTAATAAATCATCCAACCTGGGGGTAGTCTTAGAGACTCACAAAATGGAGATTTTGATTCTAATCAATTAGTTTTGGTAAAATCCATAAAAGACTAATCAATCTCATACTAACAGCAGGAACACCTACAACTCGGTGCTGGGAATAAAAATGTAATTGAACCTTTGCCAAGTTGCATGGTTGCAGTAGGCCGGCCAGATAACCTGATTCCAATTTGCTAAGAGTAAAAATATCATTTTGCCTGACCCTATAGACAAAAGTGAAGATTCCTAATTCCTATTGCAAAGTGCACTGTTCTGAAATCCAGTCAAAGAACAAAAGTGACAGTCAAGGGAAAAGTAAAAAAATGCTCCTAACTATGACAGAAGCAAAATCTACTTAATTAAGAGTTAGTATGGTAGAAAGATATTCCCTTAAAAAAAAAAAAAAAAACACGACAGCAGTTGCAACAAAGATGTTGTGAGGACCATGACTATTCTTTTACCAAATTAAGAACAGTACAAAATTTCTGGTGTTGGATATAAGACCCCAAATAAAATTTCTAGAGAACGAATGTTGTATGCTGTACAAAGGGCTTATGATTGATTGTTCAACAGTATGGCAGATCCTACAGCAAGCACTAACATCAACACTATAAGATGAAATCATTCACTAGCATCCCCTTGAAAGACTTCCCACTGTCGCTACCACCAGCATCAATAGGGAAACCTTCCCTTAGTGTCTTTCTGAAGGTAGCTCTAACTCAGGTACTAAGTCAGACAGGTTGGCTGGCCAAGCAATTTACTCTACATGCAGATAAGTTTGTCAAAGAGAGAATGCTTATGAGACTCACTATTTCTATTATTCATCTTGCTAAACTTGCTCAGCAACATATGATATTCATTCAATACCAGTAATCAGTGATCGCACTTCTTTCTCTTTTTTTGGTTTGATTCTTATTTCACATCACTAGTTCAGGTAGATAGAAACTTTTTTATTATTTATACCATAAATTGCAGGATGGTGAGGAATCATAATTAAACCTGACCAAATCCAAGCTAATAGAAGAATGGATGCCACCCAAAGAATCTGGACTCAAGAATGGCTAAATCATGCCACTTCACAACACAGATTTGCATTGTTTCTTGCTGGGAAAATGCAAACATGTTTGAAATTATACAAAAGACAGTTGGATTAGAATTAAACAGAGCATTTTACATTTAAATGTATGAGAAGGAGCAGTGTATAACACATCGGGCAGCTAAGAGGTTACTCTATCTTCAAATGATTTTCCAAAGGAAATGGGATAATACTACAAAAAAAAAATGGGGCCAATTCAATTTTCATATATTTAATACTCAAAGCAAAACTTGCTTAAAAATAATTATGAACCCACAATTATCATAAGGGCAAATATACTCAGGGACTAACATGTATACTGAGAACTCACAATCTTTCTCAAGAGACTGAGGAAAAATCACCATTGATATTCTTCACCATGTCCTTTGAAACACAGAATGATGTTCTCAATGATCTGGCTTCCTAGGAAATAATTTTCTTTTTTTTTTTTTTTTTTGGCACCAGGAATTGAATCCAAGGAATGCCCTACCACTGAATTACATCCACAGGCCTTTTTGTTCGTTTCAGACAAGATGTCACTGAATTGCTGAGGCTGATCTCAAACTTGCAATCCTCCTGCTTCAGCCTTCCCAGATGCTGGGATTACAGGTGTGTGCCACCACGCTGGGCTAGGAAATTATTTTCTAACAGATGCTCACCAATTCTATACAAGATAAGGGGAAGATCTCAAATGAGCCTGCTGCCATTGCAAAAGAATACCTATTACCTCCTTCATGCAAAGGGCTGTTTCTACAGTTTTCTACTCCCCTGGCCAGAGATTATTCAAATGGAGAAATGCGACATTAAAAGTTTTATGCGGGAGTAAAATGCATTAAAAAAAAAAAGTCTCAGACTCATCTTATTAACTCTGGTCCTTAACACAGCATCTTTACAGGCCCCATTCCATCTCCTTTCTGGATACATCTTTATGATCCAGATTCTGTTTTATACCTTTCAGAAGTAATATTTCTCTCTTCTTTTATGAATAAGACAGGATTATTTGCTTATGGAAATCAGAGTAATTACAGAGATATGATATAACAAAGTTATAAAATTAGAAAGGAGTCTTTAGGAAGAAGTAAATGAGAATGAAAATTTCCCGAGGCATTTCTACTTCTCCAGAATGCCATGTAGTGGGAAAAGCACTAGCTTTGCAGGTAAATGATTGTGTGATAACTGTTTCTCTTTAAGTGTGCTAGTTACTATACTAAGTGGCAATAACACTTCAAGGATATCTTGGGAGGTTATGAATTCATGCTAGGTCCTAACAATGCTAGCTGAAAATAGAAAAATCTGGAAAACAAGAAAATAGGGTAAAAGGATGTACTTCCTTGGGAGAGCAGCTGAGAAGCTGGTAATCTCAAAATAGAAGTTTTCAAGACAGACACACTATAAAGAACAAGTTCTATGGACCCGACATGGAACATAATATATTCAAATGATGCATTTCAAACCATTTGTTCACTTCTATATTAGAACCACAAAGAATACAATCATTGCTAAATAGAAGCTACGAATAGATGAATGGGCCTTTGTATTTACAGCCTTGGTTTATTGGGAAACGAATGAATGTATTAAAGAGAACCCTTCTTTTTCTCAACTGGAATACCAATTTACTGATGCTTTAAGGTAATTTTTCCATATAGTACACTTCCTAGTTGTTTCAAGTGCATGTTTGAGACATCTTATCATGCTAGCAGCACTATTATATCTTCCTCTCCGACCGCCCCCCCTTCCTTATAGAGCTAAGGATCAAAACCAAGACTTCGTGCATGCTTTACCACTGAGCTACATCCCCCGTTCTACTGTATCATTTCTTGCAAAAGACTATGTCAAACAAAGAATAAATGTGTTTTTTTCCTTTATCCCTACTTTTTTTCATTGTCCAAGGAATACTCCATAGAACAATAAATGCTGGATTTAGGCTTCCATCATATTAGGTACACTGAAATTTGTGAGAGTGTATGAATTATTTACATATTTTTCTTAAAAAAAAATGAGACAGGGTTTTTTTGGGGGACAGGGTCTCACTATGTTGCCCAGGCTGCTCTTCAACTCATATGCTTAAACCACACTCCTGTCAACCTCCCAAGTAGCTGGCACCACAAGTATACACCACCACACCTCTTAAACTGGCATACTTTGCAACTGATTTATATCATTGCCTTCTCCTCCACTCAGGTGGTTCTCTCTTCCTCTGTGAATATGATTATCTCTTCATACTACAGTAGGGATCAAATGCCTTTTTCCAAGAACATTTTCATACCCTTCTCTTTTCTTTCAGTTTCCACTGTCATCACCCTGTTAGGTAACTGATAATGATGATGACAACTGGTAATAAAAATGATAATGATGTCTTATTGCAATAGTTCTTTTATTGGTTTCTTTGCTTCTCATTTCTCTCCATTCCATTGTGTTCTATTTGCTGTAATAGAGCAATTCCTTCTGAAACATGAAAATGATCTCATCATTTGCCACTACAATCATCAAGGGACAAGTATAACCATCTAACACATTGTTCATAAGCAAACATGAAAGTAAGAACAGTAATTTATGTTATCAATTGATCTTTGACTTCTAAGAGCAAATACATCTTTTCCATGAAGACAGGGACTTCTGGCCATCTAGCACCTGAAGAATCCACAACACCTGCTTGGCACCCAGTAAGAAATAAATATTTGGAGGGTGAATAAGCTACAGTGAAGCATAGGAAAAAAATAATTCACATTCAGTCTTTGTTTTAATATTTATTGGTAGAAATAGATCTTCAATGCATACTTTGTGTTTATAGAAATTCTACATTCTCTTAAGGTTTCTTCTTGTTTTCTTTGGAGTTTTTTGACCTCCAAGTGAACTTAACATTTTATCTATGCATTTGATTCTTTATAATAGACTTTTTTAAAATCTAAATTTGAAAAAACCATGCATCTTGTATACCTTATACTTAATCCAAAGAATTATTTGCACTTCCAAAAAAGTCACAAAAAAGGCTGAACTCAAGTTAAATAATCTATATGACCTAAATTTTCCATGTCCCATTCCTGAATAAAAAATACTTGTTCAGTATTACATATTGCTTGCTATCTAGTAAGTCAGATTGTCAGAGACGCTTCAGTAAATTATCTTTACTTCAGAATTATATCTTAATCTTCTCAGAGATGATCTTGTCAATAGTAAACATTGTGCCATATGTAGTATTAGTCCAAAAAGCTTAAATAAGAATCAAACTTGTAGTTTTTAGACTGGACATTTTAATCTTAAAATTATATATCTATCTATATATATATACACACAAGGTATACTGTGTATTAAATTATCATTTCAAGTAACTTAAATATTTATATTTAGCAAACATTCAGCCAAACATTCTTTCAAAGGCTTAGACACCAATGTCTTGACTTAGCACTAAGCCTGTGAAACTTGAAAATCCAAGAAATGTCTGCTGTAGTATTAACAATAAGACTGATTTTCAACTTACTGAATTGTGCAGATACAAAAGTGCTTAGCATGACAAAATTACCAAAATAAAAACATTTTAAAGGTTATTTGGTTCTAGCAATATTAACTATTCTGGACTTTTGGATAATTTAACATTTGCATTTTAAATTTCATATAAATTTCCTCTTTTTAACAAGTTAAAAAAGCACACAAAAAATAGTTTAAACTATAATCTGTTATTTTTCATCCTGGTTAGCTCATCACAAATAACTCAACAAAAGAATGCTTCAATAGTCATCTCTATTAAAATACAATATTTGAATAGATCCCATCATTTCACCCATTATTTGCTATGCCGGATCCTAAAACAGGCTGCCGACAGATTGGACAAGTGCAATTCTCTGAGAGCCATCGGTCAATACAATGAATGTGAAATTCATGCATGCAAGGTAATTGCCTGAGCTTGTTTCCAGTTACATAGTCACTGATACAAACACTACAGATTTTACCTAGTTCACTATCAATACCATTATGCTCATAGTTCCGGGTGGAAAGATTGTCTATCTGCTCTTTGGTTAAACCACGTATTCGATCATCATCATCACCTTCGTTTAGTAAAAAGAAATGAGCAAGGCGAAGAATAGGTAGCGTTCCAGTTTCAACTAAATTGTTTGAATTTCGCAACTGCCTGCCTCCTCTACTGTCACTGTTTTGAGTCTGAGGCTGGGTGGTCTCATTTTCAGCTTGCATTTCAGTGCTGTCTTCTTGGGCTTCCCTGGCTTGAGAGAAACCTTCACTGAGCTGGCTGTTTTCATTAACTGTACCTAAGTTACTCAGTTCTGAATGCATCTCTGGTAAATGCTGACCATTTCTCTGAATCTCTGACTCAGACTCAGCCTCCATTAAAGAACTCAATTCTCCAAACCCAGTCATGATCTGCCTTAAAATAGACCGAAGAGCCACTGAGGATGGCTCAACAAGCTCATTCTCAGAAATCCTCCGAAGAGGAACTGTTATGGTACTAACATAGGTTCGAATACCTGACCGCTCTAAACGAGAAATAGTTCGGCGAAAGCCCCCACTATTGCTTTCAACAGTGACTGTATTTTCTGCTAGCCCTACTCTAGAGCGGGTTCTATTTGCAATGCTATCCCTATCTCTATTTTCTCCAGGACGAATTCTCCTCACTTGAAGATCCAGTGTGATTGTTGGATGTCGTCGTACAGCAGTTGAGGATCTGCTGGATTCTTCTCCTTCTTCTACTGTTATTCTTGACACAAGTCTTGAATTAGAGAATGGGGCACTTACAGTACCTCTGCGTTCTCTATCTTGCTCTACAAAGACCCGAGTTATACCTCTCCTCCTCACAGACCTTCTAACTGTTTGCTGCAAAGGTCTACTTTCCCTTTGGGAATTATGATAAGCAGTGCCACTCTGTCTCTGAATTGGTGAACGGCTTCGACTGCTGAAAGCAGACCGTAATCTTATTGGCTCTAATCTTTGGTTTGTATTTCTCACTGTGACATTAGTTCTAGCTCCATTTTCCCAAATATGTGCTGCTCCAAATCTTTGCCCCTCCCTTTGCCTGAGTTCACTACCACCTGATTGGTTTGTGTGATTACTAAAATTAGCACGCGAAGCACTAGTTCTAGGAATGCCAACTGCCTGCCCAATTCTATTCCTTAACCTTCCCAGTGTTGAAAGTGATCCTTCAACTAAATTCTGCTCCCTTGAACCAAGCCTTGTCCTTGTAATGGTGGAACTATTACCACTGAAATCCATGGAGGTTTGGCTTCTTGTTCGCCTAGCCACAGGACTAGTTGATCTTTCTTGCCTATTGCTAGTACGATCCCTGCTAATATCTGAAAGTGGAATGCCTGAATAATCTTCTCCATTAATTTCAAATCCTCTATTCTCATGATTTATGTGGATTTCCAGACTAAACCGAAACTCTCCACTGTTTGGGTTTGTTCGACTCACAGCTCTCCAAGTTTGGTTCCCATTTTGTCCACTTCGAGTTGCATTTCCTGTGCGACGAAAGGTGTTCAACCATTCTAGCAGAGAATCTTCATTTGAACTTTCTCGAGGGACTTCTGAGTCTGGAAAGCAAATCAAATCAACTTCAGATCCAACTCCTAAAATCTGTCCTTAGAACTTTTTTAAAAGCTTATAAGAAAATTAGTTTGTACTGAAGAACATCTGTGAGTTTTAATGAAAGAAAAATGGCCAAAAAACAAAAACTATGAACTTCCTAAAAGTATATACTATAAGCATATTATAAAAATAGTAATACTGGGGGTGGGGTTGTGGCTCAGTGGTAGAGCACTTGCCTCACACAGGTGAGGCACTGGGTTCTATCCTCAGCACCACATAAAAACAAATAAAATAAAGGTATTGTGTACATCTACAGCTAAAAATATTTTAAAAATAGTAATACTATTTATGTAATTACAAAACTTCAAATACTATTTATTCAAAGTTGGAGAAATTCCCATACCTGCTTTCTGTTTGTGGCAAAATATTCAAATGAGAAATATATCCAATACCAAAAGTGTACATTTAAACTTTTTTACTTCATGTACTAATATTAATAAAATACATTGGCAAACTTTATGTAAAACTCATCCTGTTATCTGTGAAATCTTTCTTTTAAAGCCAACTAAATCAACATTTTTGCAACTAAATCAACATTTTTGCAACTAAGTATTTTTGTAGCCTTAGGAATTTTATATCTCAGGAAGTGCCAAAAAACATACATTCAAGAAGAAATCTAGCTTTCCAAACATAATATTAGAACCACATTAGTTGTCTTTGTGTGAAACTGGAAGACTGTAGCAAATTACTGAAGTTCTCTATGGATGTATTCTTGTCTATAAATTAGAACTAATAATAGTATCAATCTCATGAGGTTATCATTAGGATAAAAATATATATTTTATTATATACAATGTATATAAAATTATTAGTATAATACCTGGCATACAAGAAGCACTCAATAAATGTCAGCTGTTATACATAATAAAATGCATTCTCGGGCTGAGGTTGTGGCTCAGTGGTAGAGCGCTCGCCTAGCATGCATGAGGCACTGGGTTCGATCCTCAGCACCACATAAATGTAAAATAAAGATATTGTGTCCACCTAAAACTAAAAAATAAATATAAAATAATAAAATAAAATGCATTCTCTATTCATTTAGAATGTAAGCTTCATGAAGATGAAGATTTTTTACTTATTTTAGTTACTGTTAAATCCTCAGCCTCCACAATAGTATGTGGTACCAAACTCCTAATTAATATTATTGAATAAATCAATTTAGAAATCATTGTGTCCCAGATAAGCTTTTTTGACAATAATATAGTCACTGTGCCACACTTACTTTTCCATTTGTTACCAGTAAATTATATAAAGCATAAAACTCAATGGCACACATTACCTTTACAGATTTCAACTTTAAAGTTTGTTCTACTAAAAAGTAGCTGTTAAATGAGATTTCTTAGGTTTATTTCATTACTTCAGTCTCTTTCATAAACATTTTTTAAATGTTGAAGCTAGAGGTATTAATAAACTGTTGGAGACAATAAAATAACTGGTAATCTTGGGCATATTCTAAAGATGATGAAGTATTTTACATTGAATGAGTATAGTTTTGAATAAAACATATTCAAAAGGCCAATATTAAAATTTCTATCAATGTAGTACTACTTACATATTAAATACAAAGGAGAAAATGGGTTAATATAAAATTTTCATTTCAGTCTGGAAAAGGATATAATTAAAGGCAAGCAAACATTAATCATTCTAAATGTTACCTCCTTCTCTGATTAACTAGAATGTGTTAATGACAACATGTGTGGAAGAGGTCGCTAATTATCTACTAACTCTATCCTACTCTTCTTACATTGTAAACACATTGTGAATGGGCATATGACAGTCTGGCACTTAAGTGCCAGAGAAACTTAGCTGTGGTTGTGACTTAGCATGATCATACAAATGAAATCCTGGATTAGCAGGATACATCTTTCTGCAATAATGGAAACTTTCTGTATTTCTGCTGTCCAATACAGAAACCAGTAGCTGGTTTCTATGGGACTACAGAGTACAAAAATATGACTGAGGAACTTTATTTTAAATTTCATTTGATTTTAATTAATTTAAACTTAAATAGTCACATGTAGCTAGTTGTTACTGCACTGGATAGCAGAATTATAGAACAACTCAGCTAGCTGTGTGGGTCACAGGAAGATTTGTGGAGCAAAGTTTATCTTCATTCCTTGGGCTATTAGCATAAAAAAGAAACTACTATCTATTGAGCCATTCATTGCATTTTAAGGTTTTTGAATTTGTGGGGTTTTTTTTTACTAACTATAACTAATACAATGATTTTGGCATATGTGAAATTACTAACAATGAATACCTCTGGGGAGGGAAGTAAGAAATCAGGGTGTGCTTTTAATTCTATATGCTTGTCTTTAGTTTTTTTTTTTTTTTTTTTTTTTTTCTATCAGAACTTTTTTTTTTATAAGAAGTTTTTATATTGTGGCTTAGTGTTTACTCAATAAAACAAAACAAACCAACAAATGAAATGAAAAAAGGTTTCCTAACTCTCAGAATTTCTGTATTATTCTGTACACTAGTTTTTAGAAGCTAAGCTTAGTTACATCACCATAGAAAAGGTAGTGTGTATGTTCTAATATTAAAAAGAACTGTGCTGGTAATTAATTGTATATTATTTCATATATATAAATTGCCTGAAGGCAATCTGTGTATGTTCTTTTATTAATCTTCTGTCCCATACTGCCTAACCAGTCTTCTCTGCATGTAATACATAAATATTACCTGAATGAGTATCACATTAAAACTGAAAAATATTAAAAATAAACATATTATCCAGGATACAGTATTTTCATTTTGGCAACTACTCCAATCAAGCCTGTTATTTATGGAAAGAACTCCACAGTACCTCTGTTATTTGTCCCATTTCTCAAATCAGGCTGCGATGCTAGTTGTTCCTTCACTCCATCTAATCGTTGTTGTAGTTCTTCTGATGTTATTTCTCCTGAAACAATGAAAATTTGCTTTTTAAGAATTTTAAACTACCAGTTTTTATGAAAACTCATGCAGGTTAAGACCAATTTTTAGCAACCTCTAAAGACAATGTTCTATAAATTGAAAACAGTTAAAATTTTCAACTGACACAAATATATACCAATTTGGCTGTGTCTCATTTATTACTATTTTATTAAATTTTTTAAACTAAGATTTAATTTGAATAGTTAGTACTCAATTGATATATATAAGAACCTATAAGCTATAATTAAGTACATTTTTTTCCAGAGTTAAAAAGAAATTAAGAAAGGAGAGGTTCTCTAGAAAAAACTTCAAGTCTGTTTACTTGAATGTTACCCCAATACTTCATTATATGGGCTATCAACAATAAACATACATCATATAAATATATAAATTTCAGTTAGTTCATTTGTAAAAAATGTATGGACTTTTGGGGGGTTATCAATCTAGCTGAATACATAAATTATAACACCCCAAATGAGTTCAAATTGTATTTTAAATATTTTACTTGCATAAATATTACTTAAAATAAATAGGACTACATATGTTTTAAATTTTGCATTTGTATAATATGTCCAATATATCCAATAATCTCACCTACTTAAAAATACAGAAGCCACTGATTTTCTACTTTGTTATATTAAAAAGTTCTTAAAACTAACAAAAAATAAATAAAACAGTACACAATGTTTTGGGAGAAGAAAGTATAGAGGAGGAAAAAAAAAAAAAACCTCTTCTTAGTTTGAAATTCCTCTTTCCAATGATGAAAATGGTGTCTCCTCTTTTACCCATTCCTTACCAGGAGTGCCTAAAAGATTATGATCTCTCATTAGTCGATAATCTTCGTCATTGAGTTCATTAATAAATTGATAATAGGCTTCTTCTCTATGGAGACGCTCTTGCTGCCATCTTCTCTCATTTTCACGATGATTATGGTCTTGAGATGAGGTTTCTTCACCACCGTCACCTGATCTGGATCTAGACTGATTCATCCTGAGAGTCCTGGCTTCCTGTTCAAATAATATATACAAAATTCAAGGTGTTAGTTATAGACTACATATAGCCTTGCATTTTAAACTTATAGTTTTTTTATTTTTAAATTTTACCCCCTACTCAAATACTTCATTTGCCAAACCTTGCAGAAGGAACTTACATAAAAAATGAAAAACAATTGTTATAAGATAGTACACAACTGAACCTACCACTAAACTAAAGCCATTGTTTAGTCAGACAGAATTTGAGTGCAGCACATATTTCTCATTTCTCATATCTGAATACAAAAGTGATGAATTTTTTTATCTCTTTAATTCTCTAATAAAGTTGGTCTAAAAGCCCCATTTATGTTCTAAATATCTGAGTAAAATTCGTGTTAACACACAAATTTTAGGTTTGAATTATGCATGTTCTTTACTTAATAAGCAAAATTTTAGGTTTGAACTATGCATGTTCTTTACTTAATAAGCAAAGGCATTTGGGAGGGGTATAGCTTACATTTATTTCGAACAAAGTGTTCCTTCCAAAGTAAGATTCATAAATGTAATATTACTCTCACCATCGTCACTGACATTTGTTGAGGTAAAAATAATTTAGCCTAATGTATATACTGAACAGACTTGGAGTTGATCTCCCTTTCAAAACTAACAGGAAGACTTTAAAACCAAACAGGAAATAATATACCATGCATAGTTCTGAGGACCGTGAAGAGTGCAACAGAGCCTCTGTTTCCCCATATCCAGTCTCATCCCTCAGCCTGTAATGGTTAGTCCTTGGGATTTTTGAGTGCCAATTAAACTTCCAGGCTTTGCCTAAAAAAAAATGCTATTTTTGGATTACATTTAATGTCATTCCTAAGAAACTTACTTTTAAACTATAAGGAAATTAAGGGATAAAACTGTCTCATAAATATTTCATGATTTCTTAAGCATATCAATTTAGTAAATCAGTTATATAAAAGTTACCAGACTCACTTGAAGAAATTTTTAAAAATCCAGATGCCCAGATCTCATCCCCAATCCTTGATTAGAATTTTCCAAGGTAGGGCCTAGGTATATCATTAAGAGCCAATCTGAGTGTTCTGTGCATGAAAAAACTATTCCTTGACAATTACTGCTAGGTCACTAAGGAGTATGTAATGCAGCACCTGACCCAATACAGGCTTAAGCTTAAATGGCTAGGCTGCCAGGGAAACAACTGTTGCAATTCGACCTCTCAAAATGTAGCAGGTATTTATTAATAAGCAAGTTGCTTTAAGTTAGCCTACAAGTCTAAACTGCTGTAAGAGTTAACAACCATCTGATTTCACATGTATCTGTATATTAAATTACAAATTCAAGACTTTTTTTTTTTACAGATGTAATGGTTATTACATCATCATCTAAATGAAAAATATGTTAGCACTATACAGTCAAATGCTAATTAACCACTAAAAACTCAGAATTTTCCAGTTCCAGAATTAACAGGATCATAACAGCAAAGAGAGAATCGTAGGTATTGCAATAAGATGAATTTTGTAATGAGCAATTTAAAAAGTTGAAACCTAACATAAAATCAAGCCACA